CCCCAAATATCGAATTAAAGACTTTATTGAAAAGATTTAAAAATTGAGTATTTATTTGACTAAGTGATAAAAGAGGAGAAATGATTTAGATTAGTGGTTTAGACTAAAGTGTAACAAAGGATAAGTAAAAGGGCATTTTAGTCTCTTATAGGAGAATGGATTTAAAATTTATTTCTTTAGTGAGTATTAAAGTAAAGAAAAGGGGAAATTTAAGGGATCCAAAAGCTATCCCTCTTTTCTTCTCATTCCCGTGAAAAAAGCCCTCATGCATAGTTAAAGGTGAGTTTTCAATTTACTAGTTTATTTATTCGTTTTTGGTTGGTTTTTGAAGCATTGAGTATAATAGAAGCTTAAGGAAGGATTAAATGGCATCAAAACTAAGTTATGGATGAGATAATAGAGATTGAAGAAAATGGGGTTTTGAGTGTTATGTTAGAATATGAGTTTTTAATGATGTTTGTTAGTATATTTGACTTGTCAAATATGTAAATAAGAGATTAGAAGCATTGGATAGGTTTAAAAACAAGTTAGAAAAAGTGGTGTGATTCTTAGTTTGAAATGTTCTCGGGAAATATTAAGTGTTTTAAGAAGTTAAATGAAGGAAAGTTAGTATGAATAGGTAAAGAAGAGTTTAAGAGTATTGTTAGGTGTAAACATAACGAAATTTGACCTAATTTGTGTAATAATCGGGTGGAAAACTGGAAAATCTGGGCACAAGTATCAGTACTGATAGAACAATATCGATATTGTAGGCTTAAAATGGGAAGAAAAGTTGAGTAATATCGATACTAATGTAAGAAGTATCGATACCGAGTGGGGGGTATCTATATTGTGAGGAAAGTATCAATACCATTGTTAATAGAATGCAAAAATGGTATCGATACCGTAATAGAGTATCGGTATCATAGTATAGTTGTATCGATACCATGGTAGGGTATCGATACTATGGAGCTAGAAATTGTAAGATAGACCGATATTATTTTAGAAAAGTTAATAATAGGTACTATTGAGTAATGTTTAAGTAAAATTGTTAGGAAATATACTAACAATTAATATTGTGCATTTATTTAATGGATATTGAATAGATCGAAATCAAGCTCCCGAGTCAAGTAAAGCAAAAGGCAAAGGCCAAGTCCGGAGTAATCAACTTAGCATTTTGAATACCAAAACGAGGCAAGCCAGGTGAGTGCATTTAATTATGTACGCATATGTTACAACAATCATAGATGTATGTGTAACATCCTCAATACCGGGTTAGTGACCAAAGTGTGAAATTTTAAAAATTCAATGATCAGATTAGATAAATTGAAAAGTGAAAGAATTAATTGAAAGATGTTGGTATAGGATGAATTAATAAATGAAGGAAGAGTAAAAGGGAAAAAGGGTCATTGAACAAGGGGTAATAAATAAATAATTAAATAATTATGGTGGGTATTTTATAAACTAATGTGAATAATAATTGGGGAAACATAGTTCCAGATATTTCTCATCTTCATATTTTTCTCTTTTCCAACGTGAAGCAACCAAGCCAAGGTAAGTTGGATTTCTTTTGGTTAATCCTTAAAATTTAAGTATGGTTTTGGTTAAGGAAGACTTAGGAAACATGATGGAGATGAAAAGGGTTATAGAAACTCAGAGATTTGTAAGTTATGAATGATTAAAGATAAGAAGTGGATAAGTGAAATTTTGAATAAGAGGGTTTAAATGAATTTGGAGGTTGAATTTGACTTGTCATCTATGAGAATAAGAATTTATAAGCGTTAGAATTAAGTTTGGATAACATGGAAAATTTGGTATGATTCTTAGCTTTAAGAATTTGGATGAAATATAGGAGATTATAAAGTGTTAGAATAATAGAAATTAGTTAAAGTTGTTATAGATGAGTTTAATAGCATAATAAGGGTTGTATACATGAAAATTTAGGTGAAGTGTAGATGAATTTTCGGTTGAAAAGGCTGTTTTGAGCAGAGTGTATCGGTATCCTATGTATGTGTACCGATACCCTCTTGAACGAAAAATAACAGAATGCAATAAGGGTATCGATACCTCAAGGGGTGTATCGATACCCCCTAAAGGAAAAATTGAATATTGATTAATTAAATTTGTTTAAGTTAATAGCATCAAAGTATAAGGTTTAGGCTTCTGATAATCATCTTGAAAATTATATTTCTATAGATACAAAGCCTAAACGAGTTCCAGAACAATTGGCAAGTAAGATTGATCGGGGGAAATGCAAGAAAATATAGGGGAGTGCATATGCATAGCATGGTTATCATAGCCTATTAAACTCTAGACTTGTGATAAGTCTAGTTCCAATATCATTGGTACATGATTACATTTCATAATATGATACATGACATGAATTCATATTATATGCATTATGTGAAAATGATCTAAGTGAATATGTATGCAAATTTTATATGAACCATGTGATAAGGTAAGAAGTTATATGTCTACGCAATATAAACTATGTGAATTGTAAAAGCCCATGTTATGTAGATGAGAACTATATATATAGTTGGCATGCCAAGAGTAGAGGGTCTATGCGGTTCTTTGGGACAATTCTACGTGGTCCTTCGGGACATATATGTATTCTTTGGAACATGTATGAGGTTTTTTGAGACACCTACTTGATCCTTGGTATATGTATATGATTCTTAAGGAATTTCTATGTGGTCCTTATGGACAAATCTTATATGGCACTACGGTACATTTCTACGCGGTCCCTAGAGACAAATTCTACGTGGCCCTTCGGTGCAAATTTATACGAGTTGTGGTGACATCATAGTGCACAACCTCACACTACTCACATACCTCAGGTTCTCAGTATTATATAATGGGCCAGTGAACTTATTATATGAATTCAAGATGGTTAATTTGATGAGATTACATGTAAGATATATGGTTATGTAACTTGCATGGATTAAATATGTAATTTTGTCACACTTCATCTCATGATGGCATTATCATTATATTTCATTGTCATTATTATTATTATGCCTCACTAAGTCGATGACTTAGCATGTGAGTGTTTCACACGTAGGATCGGAGAAGATAAACAAGCAAGGTTAGACAGCTGGGACAACATTACTTCTACACCTACCAGATTAGAAGAAACTTAAATAATATGTATTATTATGTGATAAATAGTTTGGCATGTAAACAAAGTCGTTAAATTAAGTATGTGTGCTCTGATCGAGTTTTGGAATGTTTTAAACGTATTTATGTAAATGGTAAATGTATATTAATGGAAGTTTAAATTTTATGAGTTTTATATAAGTGGACGAAATTACTGTAGCAAGGGTATCGGTACACTGTAGCAAGGTATCGATACCCCTGTATCGATAAATGTTGATAGTGTTGTTCTTATAATCATTGATTCTTATTGTTTTTAACTTTTTAATACCTCTAATTGCTCTCCAATTTATTTATGATGCATCATTTTAAATTATAGGTTCAATTAGAATATTTTTTAACTTTTAATTATTGGTGTAGGTGAATTATGGATAAACAAAAAAATATTGATTCAACAACAAATACTACTAGTACTATTATCGGAAGTACTATTAGCTTTCAAAGATCTACTACTGAAGAAAAAAAAAAAGATGGGTCAACACCAATTAGACAAGAGATATCAACACATATAATTCTAATCCAATTGAACTTTTCATAGAAGAAACAAGCTCAAGAATTAAACGAGGTCGGAAATCAGATGTGTGGAATCACTTTAAAAGGGGGAAAAATTGGTGAGGAGTGGAAAACAATGTCTTTACTGTCAAAAGAAACTTGGTGGAGAGTAAAGGGATGGAACCACTCATCTGCATAACCATTACAAAATATGTCCATTAAGAAAAACTAAGGACATACAACAAAGGTTCTTGGGAGCGAAAAATAGAAGATAAAGAGAAGGCACTTGCAAATTGAGATTATGATTCAGAACTTTTAAGAAAAGAGATTGCTTGTATGATTGCCTTCCATGAATACCCATTGACCATGGTGGAGCATTATTGGTTTCATAGAGTTATAAAAATAGCTTGTCCGAAGTTCAAGGAATATACTCGAAATACAACTAAAAGTGATATCTTCAAGGTTTATGAGAATGAAAAGAAAAAGATGACCAGTACACTTCAAAACAATGATAGCAAAATTGCTATCACCACTAATATGTGGTCGTCAACGCACCAAAAGAAGAGATTTATGGCGATAACAACATATTTCATTGATGATTCATGGATTTTAAGAAGCCAAATTATCAAGTAACGTTGTAATACCTAGCCTTTTATTGTTGCTTAAATTGGGTAGTTAAATTGTCAATTGTATGATTATTTAATAACTGCATTTATCATTTCAATTTTATTTTATTTGATTAGCTTCATGTATGTGCCATGTCTACATACAACTGAAGTGATTTTTTATTTTCTTTCTGAAAGCTTGATGGACTGAAATGTTGATAATAAGGTAATCTACATTGGCTTTGGATAATTGCTCAACAAATGACAAAATGATGAAGTTGATTTGTGGTAAGTTGATACCTAACAGTCTCTGGTTGAACGGAAAATTGTTGCATGTACGTTGTTCCGAACATATTTTGATTTAATAGTTAAGGATGGTTTGAAAATTATTAAAAGCTTTATTGACAATGTTCGTGATTATGTTACTTTTTCGACTGCTAACCCTAAGAGAATTGAAAATTTAAAAACAAAAACTGCTTGTCAGTTGAACATTCATGTGATCACAAAGATAGCATTGGATTGTAGTACTAGGTATTACAACAAGAATTGTAACATTCCAAATATCGGGCCAGTGACCAACATGTAAGAATTCAAAATTTAGTGGTTTAATTGAAATAAATTGAAAATTCAAGGACTAATATTTGGACATTTTGATTAGGATTTGTTATCAAAGATGAGATATTGGAGGGGCATTAAGGTCTTTTTGAAGAAAGGATTTTTATCTTCGCTTTTTAAGGGATATAAACACATGTAGGAAAGGAAGAAGGAAAAATCTGGAACCCCTTTTGTTATCTTCTCTTCCCGTGAGCTCCATTTCAAAGGTAAGTTAATTCAAGCTGTTTGTTTCTTCAAATTTCGGGTTGGTTTTGAAGGGTTGGGTGTTATATAAGCTTAGGGAAAGCTTGTAGGGGACTAAAACAAAAAGATGAGTGAATTAGTGAAGAATTTGTTAAATGGGTTTTGTAGAATGAAGTGTTGACACTAAAACTCGGGCTTTGGGCACCTATGTGATGAATAAAAAGACCCCTAATTGACAAATTTGGCTATCGTCTCCTATAAGGTATAATTGTTTCTTATTCTTCTTCATTGTTTGGTCTTGGGAATCTTGGATTTGGCATTGTCTTATTTGGAATTGAAGGTGCTGTTATTCTCATTTAGTCTTTGACACATTGCTTCATAGCTTAGTTTCTTTTATTTTTCCTATGAAACTGCATACTACTGAAGTCGAGTATATAAAACAAAGTCTCTTTTCAGTTTATTATTATCTTAGCTCTTAGTTGCTCTGGAATTTACTTATTACATAAGTTGTTATTTATTTAGTGACAGAAGACAAAGTTAATCGAAGGGTTGGGATGTATATCAGTTGACTATTAACTTGGTTTGCCCAAGACTTCAGATGTATAAAGAAGTTGGTTTAGCTGCCAGAAGAATGTTATTATGTTTTGAAACTTTTCGTGTAATAGATTTCAGCTGTCTATTACTTTGTAAAATGAAACAAAAAATGATCAGATTTTTGACCTGGTTGAGCTTCCAATGGTCATTGTATGAATAAATGTGATGAACTAGCTGAGTTCTAACTTCTAATGTTCCAGATCATTGATGGGTACATATTTATAAACGAAAGAGTCAGCTGTACAACTAAAACTCGATTACATGATTTTTATGCTAATGAAGAGGTGTTATGAATTTGCTGAGTCCTAATCTTTCAGGTCATTGATGGGTATATATTTATAAAAAAAAGTGAGCTGTACAACTAAAAATATATTTCATGATTTTGATGCCTTATGAAGAGGCCTTTGTTAGTTATTTCCAAGGGTGTTTGCTTAAAACTTTTGAGCTAGAAGTGTGTACACCCTTCAAGAAAATCAAACAGAAATGTAGAGCAATTTAGTGATCTAGATCAACATTCTTCATGCACATCTGTATCAGTTAATCAATACACACACATATACAACAGTCATTTTGAACTAAAAATCATACTGCTCTGGCCCAAAGAGTTGGGATGTAATTTTCACATGGCTACTAATTTGGTCGGCCCAAGACTTAAGATGTAGACGACTAGACGGGAAAGGGTTAGTTGTCAGAATAGTGTTATTATGTTTTGGAACTTTCCATGTGAGATACAATGAAAAATTATCAGGTAATGGACTTGGTTGTGTTTTGATTATGAGTAAAAGTGATGAAATAGTTGGGTTCTAGCCCCTAGATCATTGATACAACTAAAACTCAGTTACTTGATAACGATGCTTTCTGAAGAGGCCTGTGTTAGTAATTTCAAATGGTGTTTGATCAAAAATTTTGAACCATAACCGTAGAACATCCGTAAAATATATATAACATGCCATTTTGAACTTAAAACCTTACCGCTATTTAGCCTTTAAAGAGTGGCTGGTTAAAAGTTGGCTTCTGTGTTTCTCTGTGATAAATATGTTTCTTGAAATATACATGATGCCATGTTTTTTGTCAGCTTTCTCGAATTATCTTCCCCTTTTTAATCTTTGACGTAATGTTTTCTGTGCAGTGGTCCATCCATATTTGATTGGGATCATAATGTTCAAGCTTGGGCTTATCGACGAACTATAACAAATTTGTTGAAACTCTTGGAAATTGAGTTGGAGCAACTGTGCGGTAAACCAGTCAACCTTTCATAGACTTTTGTAGATCCTATGATGTTCGCATAATTTCTACCTTCGAAGCTTATTTCACCATTAAAGCAGCATGCCTCGATTTTCTTCAGCAAACTATATCTCAAGATCCTTAAACTCCCTCATGGGTTGTAATTTTACAAAAAGTAGAATCTGTCCCCAATAAATCATCGTTCAACAGTATGTTAAGACCCATTGCTTTTTCACCCAACTTCTTGATGACCGGTAGTAGCAGCCATTATATCCATTTTACCTGCAACTCTGTTTGCAGATCAGTTATCACATTTCACCCTAGTTGATTGTAGTTTCTCTTGAGAATGTGCATGTCATTGTTCACGTGACAGGTGGCCGAATAAAGTAGCTGGAGAAACTTTAGCGACATGAACTACCAAAGAAAATCCGCTGTCGGACATTTTAGTCAAGGTTTGTGAGCCCAGTCATTATGATTGGTAGCATCAAAGTCACGAATCGTTTGAAGAATTAGGTAAAGACTTGATGGAACACCTTGTCCTTGGCTAGTTCATGTCACTAAAAGTCGGGCATTATTGATGCACTCTTGGGAAAGCTATTTGTCTTCGCCTTGTCAGATGGGGTCTCTCTGCCAAATTTGGACCGAAAAGCAACATAAATTCAGGACAAAAATTGATATGTAAAATGGCCAAAAGCATACAAGATAGCACGCCGAAAGATAAGTGAAGATAAGGCAGGTATGGAATGTATATTTTTAGTGCTTAATTGACGGTCCCTATAATGCTAGCACCAATGATGCATAAAACCAAACATCGTCTCAAGGGCAAATATTCTCAATTTTTCTATTGGCAATTATTTTCAAAATAATACATTTTAAAACATTTTCTTGTGCCAAAATGGTACTTAAATAACATTTTTTTCTTTGTTAAAATGACTCCCTTTTCGCAAAGTACACTTACCTGAAAATGCCATTTGAAAGACTATTTTGTGAGGAGTGTCTTCGCCTCTATGACACACAAGTTATTCGAGTTTTCAATTTTCACATCATTCATAATCAAAATGAAAAGAGAGAAAATTATTAGATAAAAAATTATACGAATTTTATTTAAAAAGAAAAAAACATGTGGGATACGTGCCTAAGACACATAATTGTATGTGTACAAGCACAAATAAATCGAACAACGATAATGAAACGTATGTATAAATTGTCTTCAATCATTTAACGAGTAGGTATTTAGAAGATTATAATTAATCATTTTAAAAGGTTCATATAAACAATATGAAATTTGAGAATATCATGACAATTATTGGTTTTGAGTCGTCACAGACAATTCTTAATCTTGATTAGATTTGTACAAGTTGTTTTCCTTGTGAATACTCAAGATCCTAGTATATAAAAATATCTTTAACTATCGTACCGATACAAGTTTAAAAAAATGTTTTTGGAAGCTCAAAAACTAAGTTAAAAAAAAATGGTTATCATTTTTTCCCATATATATGTGGTAAGGGGAGGTAAGATAGTAGGCTATCCCCAACACCAGGTTGAGAGCAGCTTCCGTAAGAAATCTTCGAATTATGAAATGTCCTCCGTGGGATTTGATCTCACGACCTCAAGGTTAAGAACCTTGCGCTCTACCAAATATGAGATTTTGAAGTGTTTAGATATAGTCTTCTGAAAACATATACATTAAGTGATTGAAGACAAGATACATACACATGTTTATGTCGGCTTGTGAATGTGCAATTATATGTTTCGGACACATATAGTGTTTATTTTTTTAATAATATTTGTACAATTTTTAGTCCTATATTGTGTTTATTTCTATTTAGATTCTAAATGATATTAATGTTTAAAAAATTATCTGAATAATCTATCACTAAAATAAAGACACTTTAACATAATCTTATCTTTGTCGAAAAGGATATTATTTTGATAAAGAAATATTGAAAATATGATTTGGATAAATTAAGCGTGTTGTTTTCATCTATAAAATCCAGTCTTAAAATGATACAGCAAATGTATTATCATTGAAGCAGGTGGACGTTAACGTTATGTAAAGTTTGTGTATTTATGAACATCTATTCTTGGAGTTGTAGAATAGTATATAAAGTTGTACAGCTGCCCTCACCAAGTGAATGGCCTAAAATTGAAACGTCAACTACAAGACAACACCCATCACTCAAAACCCACAACCATAGTCAAACGGTGAATTGAACATGGAAGAAACCATGGAAGAAAACCATATATATATATATACATAATATAATACGTTTGTTTGGACTATATATATGTACACATCGTTGTCTTGGATGGTGATGTCATGGTCAGCAGCAGAATCCTAAGATGAAAGAAACATCCTCATAATATCTCGTCGGTTGTTGCCTAGATTTTTTAAGTGGCGCTCAACCACCACCACAAATCCCCACACCAATTCTCCACCACTCCATCCTCTTTCTTTTCACCCAAGTGATTCGCCCCTACACTGGACCCTAAAGCTGTTTAATCAATTTAAAAATGTATTTAATTAATCTAATTGGCTGGTTTGAGCTAACAAGCTCCTTTGAACCACAATTTCTATTTGAGGATCATAATTTTTTCACTATATTTTATGTGGGCTGATCGATGATTTCGATTGTATTATTGAATTGATAAATGGGAACTTAAACGAGTTTTAAGCCTCATATTTTGAACTGCTTCCACCATCTGATGCTGATGGGCGACCGTCATTTCTACTGTGCACCCAAGGAAAAATAAAAAAAGATATAAATCCATTTGTTTATTGTATTGAATTCTTAGTGGTGCTGGACCGTCAGCTTCCCAGATATTTTGCATAGAAATTATTAAACAAATATCTTCTCCCAGCCAGATGTTTTGAATAAAGTAACTTAAATAAAGCATTACAAAACTCGTGCCAACAAGAAATAGAGAAAGAAAATTCCCCCACAAATACAAACAAAACATGGCCCCTAAATTAACCGTGGGTTCAGGTGAAATTTATTTCAATCAGATTAAAACTACTGATGATAGTTAATATTTTTTCATATTTCTTATCTATTTTGTGATCACCTGTTTTATCATTATATTAAATATTTATTTATGAATAATTAATAAAATTAGTAGTAGTGTTTTCCGTGGTTTAAACCAGTCTTTTTATCAAAAAAATACGATTGAAAAAATACTTTTGGGACAAAACCAAAAATTCAACGGGTGATTTGTGAAAACACTTCAATCACAATAGTAATCTGAGACAACTTATTTTAATCATATAATAAAATAATTTACTTATTAGCTTACCCTACCAAACCAAATATATATACAGAAATAGAATGATGAGAAAAGCAAAATTATGAACTCCAAGAGACATGAATGCTTTTATCCTCCACGGTTTGTTCCAATGTAGAAAAGAAAAAAAAAATCTGGAAGAGCACTGTGATTGGAAATCTTTGGCAAATGGATACACAGTCCAGTTTGGGATGTGGTAATTGCAGTGGGACAATCGGAGGGAGCATTCCGATGACCAAAGTTCTGTCGTAAAATGACCCACACTCAAAGATAAGACTTATGTAGGCACATGAAATGAAATGTCTGTTTACATATTAGGCAATACACAAGTACATGCACTACAATCGTAGCCCAGCTTGCTTGTTTTTAGTAGAAGATGCGTTACAAGTGATCGACAAGCACAATCCTGTCTATGCACAAAATATATTTTAGAGCAACAAAAAAATTGAAATTGGTATTCGTGCCTTGTGATTGTCCAAGGCATTTCACGGACAATTCTGACGCTGTGAAACGATGGATAGTCTGGATGGCCGACCGGCCGGCCGGCCGGCTTTATTAGTGGATGTCGTTCAAAGAAAGGACACAGGCTGCTGCTCCACTTGCTTCGCACACATCCTTTAGGCTGCTAAAGAAACAACATTAATCTGATAAAAGATCACACTTTGTTGTTGCAGTATTTAGCACTCTTGCAATTTCTTGGATTATTAGTACAATTAAACCCACACTACAGGCCTACAGGGGTGTCAACATTCCTATCAATCACTATTGTCAGAGTAGGTTAGAGATCAGAAATAACAGGCAAACCAACTCAAATCGGACAGCTAAGAGATTACAATTACCAACGAATTTTTAAGATTTTTTTTACTGCATTTTCTCATACACTACTTTTTTGTTTTCTCCTAAAGACTCTCCACTCAATCGTGCTTCTCGGACTGAAACTGCACCGGTTTGATCTGTTGTTCTTTCGATCATCTGGAGTTAACCGAAACGGATTCATCCTCTTTTTGTAAACTGTATCTCCGTTTAAGAGATAAACGATCTGGATCGTCCTGTTTAAGAATAATTTTTAAAAGAATTAATAAATTTTGATTTCATGAAAGCGATTAAAAGATCTGAACGAGAGAAACGAAAGGAATCTAAAACTGAACAGATATCAGAAGAGAAAACAAACCTGTGAGTGAAGATCTGAAGCAATTTCTCTCGACCTTTTCAACGATACCAAATTCGTTGATCTAGAGACTTCTCTTTCACCAGCAGAATAATCTCCACCACTAGAAGAACTGGACGCCGGCGGAGGTGTATCCGCTACTTCTGATGACCACGGCACCACCTGATTATCTCCGTCCTCCACATCATCTTCAACTGATACGTCATCATCGGGATCACCTCCTGCATCATCATCATCATCTCCTTCATCGTCGTTGTTGATACCGCCATCACCGTCATTTTCGGCTTCGCTCTCTTCTCGATCGTCGCCGTTAACGCACCTCTCACAGACGGAGACCGTGTGACCGAGCTTGGAACCAGTGGCTCTCCACGGAGTGAGAGACTGGCAACCGTGACAGAGAAGAGACCTCACGTGTCTCGCCACGAGGAAGTTGGCTCCATGGACTACAGCGTCGCAGCCCCAGCACAAACTGGCTTGGTCCGATTCACAATACGTCGTCGCCGTCAACTTGCAGAGCTCACAGCTCTTCATCTCCTTCCTCATTTAAACCAAATCACAGATATATTTCCCCTCGATCGACCAGCGAGTTTCTCCTCCTTTCGTTTTCTCGAAAGAATTCTTACGTTTCTGATTTTCTCTCTCTTGTGTATTACACAAAATAGGCGATTCAGAGAGAGGGAAGAAAAAGAACCAAACAACTTGCAGTGGCTTATAGGAACAGCCTTGCCTTTTGCAAGTTTTCCTTCATAATTCGCAATTAACCAACGACGACTCGCAAGATATTTTTACTTAATTAATTATATTTTTCCTAATTTAAATTATATATATATAGATATACACTACGGGAAAATACCTTTTAACCCCCCGGTTCCTATTTCGAATTATCATCCACTTCATATTATGAATAAACTTGAATGATGAGATTTGATTTATATCAAGACGAAAAAAGAAAGGGGGATAAAATTGTAAATTAGCAAAAGGTACGGAGGAGAAGAAAATTTGGTCTGTGGGAGTCTAGGGTTTTTTGTGTGAAGAGGAAGTGGAAAGGCAAAGGGTGTGGCTTGACATAGTGCCAGGTGTCACAAAGTAAGAGAGCAAGATCTTGTGTGGTGCAACGCGTTGGAATGCTTTGGGCTTCTACTGGTCAGCTGCATTTGGTTGAACTCAATTTTTTTTTTCATTTTATATATTCTAAATTCAAATAAAATAATAGTATTTAAAAAGTAGCAACTAGCACGACAGGTCTTTGGGTTAGACGGTGACGTGTCGGTCGGGAGTGGAGATTCAGATTCGCTTAGCTGGCATTTATCCGAAGCAGAGCTGAGGTTAATCCACGTGGCGGCCAAATGATTTTGGGGATATCGTTCGGGTCCCGCAATATCGGCGATATTTTCATTTTTGCGCAGTGGAGTGGACAGCAATCAATTGCGTTAAGCTTATTTAATATTTTACCAAATTAATCGCTTGATGCGATTTTCATTACCATAATAATACGATTGGGTTTGGCGATTTTTCGGTTTTCCAAAGAGTGTGATGAGAAAATAATAAAATATCTTTTAGAAAATAGTAAATTTTGTAAATAGAAAGATTTTTAAGATAACTGTTAATACTGGGTTTGCATTCGCAATTCTCATCCTCTCAATTCAAATCAAATATATTTGGGAGGAGAATAATATTTTTAGGTAAATATAATAAACGATAAATCATAATATTGGTCATCAATCTATTACTTTTTTTCTTATTTTATTATCAAACTATTTTTAATATTTTTTTATTAATATGAAATAAATACAAGATAGCATTTGTTCTAAGATAATTTTTAACCCTTTAACATTGAATCCTTACATGGATGACATTTATGATATTCAAATTCGGGTATTTAAAAAATAACAATTATTTTTAGTATTTTTTTAAAATCCACATAATTGTGGATGTAAGAGTGATTTGCCCATTCTGAAATTTAATTCTCTTTATTTATTATTCATTTTATTTACTTGACAATCTTAAAATTTTATTTTTATCTATTTCATACAATAAATTTCTCTTATTAATAAGTATATATTCACATTAAAAATTTTGTGGATCCGTCGCTGAAACTACGTTCTCTAGATCTAAAATGAAGGCTCGTTAATTTTTCTCTAAAACCTATAATTATATTAAATTGTAAGTGAGACATTGCTAATTAAAGTTATCTAATGAGTGCACATTGCTAATTGTAAGCGAAAATCGGGATGACGATTTAGCTTTAACTGACCCGAAATTTTGAAGATGCTCAACTGGATGATAAACTTGACAATCAATTCTGTGAAAGGCATATTGCAATAGGTATTCACGAAGATCCAGTTTGTTCTGGTGTTTCAACTCCAGTCCAGTTACGGATGTTTCACTAGAATCATGCCACAGTTCATTTGCTGCTCCTACTCCCACTGCAACAGACATTCAGCGAAGAAATATGGTGAATACAATCTTAGAAAACTAGAAAGAAGCAAAGGCAATGAATTTGAAACACAAGATAAATCCATGACGAGTGAGAGGCTATTAATACAAGAGAGAGAGAGTGCGATTTGTAACTACTCTAACCACTTCACTACTCTCAAGAACCCGTGCAGACTACCACTCAAGATAGTGGGCTGCTTACATCATTCCATGCACAAACACAATACTCTAACATTCACCACAGTTCAGTTCCTTTTATGAATTGCTGCCTGATTCGCAAGCAAGTCGATTGGTTGTCATGAACAAGAGTATCACTTACTGGAGATCATGGCGGGGTCAGGTGAAATCTTTGAATTACTCAACAACTTGAATTTTAGTTCACATACATGAAAGTCTGGTGATGAATCTCACGGGACATTTGCAGTATTAGAAGTTCGATTTGTTGAAAAATACCTCTGATTTTTTATATATATTCAAATGCATACAGAATACACATATATATAGTATTAACAATAAGGTAACTGCTCCTAACTAATTTCTAACTAATCTCTAACAGCATAACAATTTCCTTCCAACTAATTTCCCTATGCTCAACACTCCCCCTCAAGTTGGGTTGTAAAATACATCTTTTACTCCCAACTTGGATAAAAGATATTCATGCTATGAAACTCCAAGGGCCTTTGTTAAGACATCTGCTTGTTGCTCTGAAGTTGGAATAAACTCTGTCTGAATCAGTCCCTTTTGAATCTTTTCCCTTATAAAGTGACAATCAATCTCTATGTGCTTTGTTCTCTCATGAAACACTGGATTGGCTGCAATATGCAAAGTAGCCTTATTGTCATTGTAAATTTTTGCTGGCTGATTATTGTTGACTCCAAGGTCTTTTAGCAACCCCTTCAACCAAACAAGCTCTGAAGTAGTCATGGCCATACTCCTGTATTCAGTTTCTGCTGATGACCTTGCTATAGTGCTCTGTTTTTTTTACTTTCATGACACCAATGATTCTCCCAGCTTAATAAAGAACCATGTTACTGACTTTCTTATCATGGGACAGGTTACCCAGTCTGAGTCACAACTTGCCATGAGATGACAACTGCTCGAGGCCTTCAGTATAATCCCTAAACCAGGATTCTTCTTAATGTATCTCACCACTCTAAGAGCTGCTTCCATGTGCTCCCTCTTGGGTTGATGCATAAACTGACTTAAATGCTGAACTGAAAAAGCTATGTCTGGTCTTGTATGTGTTAAATACAACAACCTTCCAATAAGCCTATGAAATTATCCTTTATTGGCCAGCTGATCCTTTTCTACATTCTGATGTTGCTGAAATGAACTATCATAGTCTACTGTAGTAAGTTTGGTATTCTGCTCCAAAGGAGTTGTTGTAGGTTTTGCACCACTAATTCTAGTATCTTGAATCAGCTTAAGAGCATATTTCCTCTGATTTAGAAGTATTCCTTCCTTTGATCTCAAAACTTCTAGACCAAGGAAGTACTTCAACTCACCCAAGTCTTTCATTTTGAAACTTCTATGCAAAACCTCTTTCAATTCTGCAATCATCTTTACATTATTTCCAGTAATCATCAAATCATCAACATAGACTAAAAGTATCACAGTATTAGTCCCATGCTTCTTAGTAAACAAAGAATAATCATATCTACCCTGATCATACCCTGCTAAAAGTAGAGATTCTGTAAGTTTAGCATTCCACTGTCTTGAGGCTTGCTTTAAACCATAAAGGGACTTTTGTAGTCTACATACCATATTCTTCCCCTGACTACAAAACCCTTGAGGTAATTCCATATAAACTTCTTCATGCAAGTCCCCTTGCAGGAAGGCATTATTAACATCCATCTGCCATAAGGGCCAATCAAAAATAGCAACAAGAGCAAGTATAAAGTGAACCGTTGTAAGTTTAGCAACAGGTGAGAAGGTTTCTACAAAGTTAACCCCTTCCCTCTGATTATAACCCTTAGCTACAAGTCTTGCCTTGAACCTCTCAACCTCTCCCGAGGCTAAACACCCACTTACACCCAATGCACACTTTTCCTAGAGGCAAAGGAACAAGATACCAGGTTTTATTTAATTCAAGTGCATGAATTTCCTCCTGTATGGCTTTAACCCATCGAGAGTCAGTTTGGGCTTCTTGAAAGTTTTTGGGTTCAAGAGAATGAGAATCAGAAAGTACAAATGATTGTGTATGAGATGGTAAATGAGAATAAGAAACATGATTAGAGATAGGATACTGACCTGGAAAAGAAGTGGATTGGCAGGTATGAACAAAATCATTTAACCAAGATGGAGGTTTAGAAACTCTAGAAGACACCCTAGTAGAGACTGTACTGGGAACAGAAATAGGAGGAATAATGTCTGTAGCTATATCTGCTGAAGCATTAGGAAGATCTATTGAATTAGAAGATAAAGGAGCAATGGAAGATTCTGAAGAATGTTGTGGTAGAACTGAATCTGAAGATGAAGTTGGACTGATTTGTGGAGGAAATGAAAGTTGTAAAAAATCAAAATCATAAATGGTAGGGTTAGGTGGGAAAAAAGAATGATCAGAAGATGTAAACTTAAAAGGAAATATATCTTCATGAAAAATAACATCTCGATTAACAAAAAAGGTTTTTGATTCAAGATTAAAGAGAATGTAACCTTTTTGAGTAGCAGAATAACCAAAAAAGACTGAAGGAATAGCTTTTGAAGAGAACTTGTCACTATAGTGTGGCTTAGTTGCATAACATAAACAACCAAATACTTTGAGATGAGATAGATTTGGCGGTTTTTTATAAAGCATTTCAAACGGTGTCTTCCATTGAATCACAGAAGATGAAAGTCTGTTGATGATGTAACAAGCAGTAAGAACACACTCACCCCAAAACTTTAGAGGAACATTAGACTGAAAACGTAAAGCACATGCAACTTCTAGAACATGTCTATGTTTTCTTCCAGCAACCCCATTTTGCTGAGGGGTGCCAACATAAGAACTTTGATGAACAAGGCCAAGAGAAGAAAAAAAAAAGAGAACACTCAGAGTTAAAATATTCAGAACCATTGTCACTCCTAATTATTTTGACTGAAGCAGAGAACTGAGTTTTAACTAAAGAAAGAAATTGTTTAAGGGATGAAATAGCATCATTCTTATGCTTCAACAGATACAACCAAGTCATTCTAGAATGATCATCAACAATAGTTAAAAAGAAACGATGACCACTATGTGTAGAAACCCTGTATGCACCCCACAAATCGATATGAATAAGCTGAAATGGAATAGATGACCTAGAAGTGCTCACAGGGAAAGGTAACCAAGGTTGTTTAGCTAAAGGAAAAACAGGACATTTGTGAACTAAATATTGCTGAAAATTAACAGATTGCAAAAAACCTATTTTATTCATCTTAGAAAAGGCAACATGCCTAATCTAGCATGCCAAATACAAGTATTTGAGATGGCAGAAGCCATACAAGAAGTAGTAAAAGAAAGTTGATTCAAATCAGAAGACAAACCAAAATCAAACGAAGACTCAAAAAAATATAAGCCTCTAGATTCCCTACCAATCCCCTTCATCTTTCCAGTGGAGAGATCCTGCAGAAGACAAAAGCCAGGATAAAAGATGAGGCAGCATCCAAGATCATGAGTAAGCCAAGACACTGAGAGTAAATTGTGTTTAAACTGTGGAACTAACAAGATATTTTCAAGTTTATAGTATGGAGTAAGAAAACAAGAACCAAGGTGAGTAACAGGTACATGTTTACCATCAGGAAGATTTATGAAACGTGTGGAGGAATCACAAGGAGTGAGACAATCCAAACTCTTAAAATCATATAAAATATGGTTTGTTGCCCTTGTGTCAATAATCCATTAGATTGTAAGTAATTGTTAGGAAAAATACTTGCAAAATTAATAGCAGAATCTGCAGAGGATGACTTGTTCAAGAGCTGCAGAATTTGATTGTATTGCTCCTGAGTAAATACTGGAGCAGAAGAAACATGAACAGAATGATTAGAAGAAGGCATAGAGTCAATAGAAATGCTCGAATTTGCCTCAGTACTGGAAAATCCTTTCTTTTTTGTGAACTTGTAATTCGGAGGAAACCCGATCAATAGATAGCATTAATCCTTCTTATGACCTTTAACTTTGCAGTAATCACAGATTCCAGAAAACTGTTTACGTTCAGAAAAAGCAGTAGAATTGGAAAACAAATCTACCGTATCATGCGCAGCAACCACAGATAGATAGGACCTTTGAGATTCTTCTTGAATCAACATAGAATAGGCTTGATTCACCATTGGCAGAGGTTGCATGAGCAAAATCTGACTGTGAATTGCCGAATAGGAATCACTTAGACCCATCAAAAACTGAAATAGCTTCTGCTGAACGAGATGCTTCATGTTCTGCTGGGAAACTTCACAATCACAGGCAGTGAAGGGGATTAAGGACTCATATTCGTCCCACAGCATCTTCAAACGAGTGAAGAATCCAGAAACAATGGATTCACCTTGACACAGAGTAGCAATCTCACGATGCAAAAAAAAGATACGAGAACCATCTACCTTATCAAACCTTTCTTGTAGATCATTCCAAACAGAAGCCGCACTGGAAGCAAACACCAGCCCAGCCGATATATCTTTGCTAACAGCGTTCAGAATCCAAGATAAAACCACTGCATTGCATCGATCCCATTGCACTTGTAAAGTATCGCTGTAAGCACTACGCTGACAAGAACCGTCAATAAACCCTAACTTGTTTTTGGCCAGCAATGCAATCTTCATCGAGGGACTCCATATGCTGTAGTTTTCCAATCTAATGAGCGGCTGAGAGACAAGCAGAAGGCCAAGCATATTAGACGGATGGAGGTACAACAGATGAGTGAAATCGATTTCCTCGGCAGAAGGCATTTTGAGAGGAAAAAGAGGAAATGAAATTGGGTAAAAAATGAAATAAACTGAGGGTGAGTAGAAAGAAGGAGAATAACAAGAGCATGCCAAAAAATGAAAAAAGCAAAAGATAGAGGACCGAGATTAGGCTGATACCATGTTGAAAAAATACCTCTGATTTTTTATATATATTCAAATGCATACAGAATACACATATATATAGTATTAACAATAAGGTAACTGCTCCTAACTAATTTCTAACTAATCTCTAACAACATAACAATTTCCTTTCAACTAATTTCCCTATGCTCAACACGATTCAAAGATGAAAAACAGATCATTGATATGGTGGGAGCCAAGAGATAGATGCAGTAAGTACAATTACTGCTGGCACCTGTAACGTCAACAAGTTACCATGCAAATGTTTACCTGGTTTCAAACCTAAACTCCCACATAAATGAAATGCTGGAGACTTTGGAGAAGGTTGCTCCAGAAACTCTGTATCACACGGGGATTACTTCTTGAGCTTGAAAAGGATGAAATTGGAATATCCAGAATTACCGTTCCATGTTGATGATGAGAAAGCCTGTGAGGCCGAATGCCTCAGTAAAAACCAGTGACTAGAATATTCAGTAAATGCCAGTGACGCTAATAGGCAACTTTCATGTCTAACATGGACAGATGAACTCAAAAATATTCAAGACGACCAAGTGACAATTGTCGTTTTGTTGTCAAAATAATTCCTTATTATCAATCAATAAATTAAGGAAATGCGTAGCAAGGAGAAGTAAGGGTCGATTCCACAGGGACTTAGAAAATTATAAATTTCTATCTGAATTATTTATGCCAGGCGTGAAACAGTAAAAATTGGGGGGATTTTAATAAAAGATAATAAAGTGATTAAATAAAAGTAATTAAAATAAAAATAAGAAGGTGAAGATTGTGAATAAATACGGTAAAAGTAGCCTCAAGCTCCGCTTTGATTCAATTTCCTTTAGATCATCGAATGAGATTTTCTCTTCGGGATTCACGTCGGTTACTTTGCCTACAAGGGCTATCCTTGTGACTCTATCTTGTATACCGAATACCCAAGGCAATCTTTGATTCCGGCTTCGGTAGTTGATTCTAACAACATCTATTGTCGTAGATCAAATACCGTTTAAGTTCGTGGCGACCGACTCGAATTGTTGTTTCTATAACCGTCAATTCCGATCTCAATTCCCTCTTGGCGAAGCTATCTCGCCAAGTGTGTTCCCAGAGCCGAATCTTCCTCCCACACGTTTAATCGCAACAACCTCTTGACCAAAGTCAATCTTCGATTTTGAAAACCGTTTTGATTTTGAAAAATAAGCGCAGAGATTGAGAGAGAGATTCCGAAGATATTAAGGGACCGTTTCAATTCTCCCGTTGGAATTGAATCATCGCGACAGCTCTCGGCTTATGAAAAGTTTAGCTAAGCATGACAAAAGTCATACTTAGCATAAAAATAAAACTTGAAAATAAAGAAAAATAAAAAAAAGAACTTGAAAAAGAAAAGAGAAAACTTTTATAAAAACTAGAGAAAAGAAGAATGTATTCTGAATGATGATTTTAGGCTTACCCCAAGTGGGTATTTATAGCCTCTCAAAGCCTAAAGGATAAGCAAAGAAAATAATAAAATAATATAAAAGATAATTGTTTTTAAATTTAAATTCAAACTTAAACTAGTCTCCTAATGCAACTCTACTCGTCAATCTTCCAGAAGGCGTGCGGAAGAAGTCTTCTAGAAACCGTCGCTGACTGGACCTTCTAGAAACTGCCACGTCATACCGCGTCGTGCCCAGAGTCATGCCCATGTCTCCAGCCGTGACCAAATAATAAAAAAATGCAGAATTCGCCCGTTTTGTCACAAATTCTGGAAAACAATGACCTGTACGAAAACAAGCACAACACGACCAAATCAACAGCAATAAATCCACAAAACCGAAGAAATAACGAGCAAATATTAACTATTCTGAACACTCATCACCAAGTTGATGGCTACGATCTATATGTCTATTTGCCACAGTCGGATTTAGGTACTTTACTCTTCACTTTTACCATAGATCAATACTTCTTTTTTATTGGCTAATTTAGTGCACTACAGATTCTATAGACAATCTGCATACTATTTTAACAAATGCAGCAACAAAGGCTAATGACTATGATCCCAGGGTAAATTTCCAGGAGGTCAAGAAATAGCTATACAGAGGCTGGAGAGTGTTTCCAGACAGGGCTTGGATGAATTCAATAATGAAGTTGTGTTGATTGCTAAACTTCAACACCAGGATCTTGTGAGGCTATTAGGCTACTGCATACAAGTAGAGGAAAAGATTCTACTGTATGAATATATGCCCAACAAAAGCTTAGACTCTTTCATATTTGGTTAGTCATTGAAACCCTGTCTTATGCAAACCAGGTTGACTGTTTTATTTTACAAAACATAGAGAAACAATATCTGATATACACACGGTTCAATATCATTTGGGAGTCGTTAGAGGACTGCTTTATCTTCACCAAGATTTTAGACTGAGAATCATCCACAGAGATTTGAAAACTAGTTACATATTACTAGACGAAGAGATGGATCCAAAAATATCCAATTTCACCATCGCACGGATGATCCAAGGAAAACAAACTGAAGGAAGCACAAGAAGAGTAGTTGGTACATAGTGAGTTCCTAACTTTGTTTATTTGCAGCAGCACAAATCAGTTCCTTTTTTCCATCTGTATATCTAATCGTACAGATTGTTTTGAAATACAGCGAATATATGACGCCGAGATATTCATTAAACGAGGTTTTCTTGATAAAATCAGATGTTTTCAGTTTCGATGTAGTGATGCTCGAGATCATTAGCGGAAAAAGAATGTGAGGTTTTATCACGTGGAAAATACACCAAGCCTAATTGCTTATGCAAGTAGAGATGAACGTTTCATTCTACTGACATCCGTCGTTTTGATGTCAAATAAATTCTTTATTCTCATTCAATAAATAAAAGAAATACGTAGTAAAGAAAAGTAAGAGTCGATTCCACAGGGACTTAGAAAATTATAAATTTTTGTCTGATTTATTAATGCCAGGCGTGAAATAGTAAAAATGAGGGACAATTTTGGTAAAAATATATTAAAATAATAAAAGCGATTAAATAAATAAAAGTAATCAAAGTAAAAATAAGAAGATGAAGATTGTGAATAAATTTGGTAAAAGTAGCCTCAAGTTTTGCTTTGACTCAATTTCCTTATGATCATCGAATAAGATTTTCTCTTCGGGATTCACGTCGGTTACTTTGTCTACAAGGGTTATCCCCGTGACTCTATCTTGTATACCGAATACCCAAGGCAATAGATCAATTACCGTTTAAGTTTGTGGCGTCCGGCTCGGATTGTTGCTTCTATAACCGTCAATTCCGATATCAATTTCCTCTTGGCGAAACTATCTTGCCAAGTGTGTTCCCAGAAAGTCGAATTGCTTTCTATAAGCCGAATCTTCCTCCCACACATTTAATCGCAACAACCTCTTGACCAAAGTCAATCTTTGATTTTGAAAACTGTTTTGATTTTGAAAAATAAGCGTAGAGATTGAGAGAGATGTTCCGAAGATATTAAGGGACCGTTTCAATTCTCCCATTGGAATTGAATCATCGCGACAACTTTAGGCTTTTGAAAAGTTTAACTAAGCATGACAAAAGTCATACATAGCATTTTGAAAACAAAGCTTGAAAATAAAAGAAAAAAGGAAAAAATTGAAAAGTAAAAAGAGAAATCTTTAATAAAACTAGAGAGAAAAGAAGAATGTAATTTTGAGTGATGAGTTTAGGCTTACCCCAAGTAGGTATTTATAGCCTCTCAAAGCCTAAAGGATAAACAAAAAAATACAAAAGATAATTGTTTTTAAATTTAAATTCAAACTTAAACTAGTCTCCTAATGCAACTCTACTCGTCAATCTTCCAGAAGGCGTGCGGATGAAGTCTTCTAGAAACCGTCGCTGACTGGACCTTCTAAAAACTGCCACGTCAGACCACGTAGTGTCCAGAGTCTTGCCCATATCTCCAACCATGATCAAATAATAAAAAAAATGCAAAATTCGCCCGTTGACGAGTGTTCAGAATCGTTAATATCTGTTCGTTATTTCTTCAATTTTGTGAAGTTATTGCTGCTGATTTGATTGTGTTATGTCTATTTTCGTGCAGGTCTTTACTTTCCAGAATTGGTGATAAAACGGGCGAATTCTACATTTTTTTTATTATTTGGTCACGGATGGAGACATGAGCACGACTCTGGGCACGACGCGGTCTGACATGGCAGTTTCTAGAAGGTTCAGTCAGCGGCGGTTTCTAGGAGACTTCGTCTGCACGCCTTCTGGAAGATTGACGAGCAGAGTTGCATTAGGAGACTAGTTTAAGTTTGAATTTAAATTTAAAAACAATTATCTTTTGTATTATTTTATTATTTTCTTTGTTTATCCTTTAGGCTTTGAGAGGCTATAAATACCCACTTGGGGTAAGCCTAAACTCATCATTCAGAATACATTCTTCTTTTCTCTCTAGTTTTTATAAAAGTTTTCTCTTTTCCTTTTCAAGTTTTTTTTATTTTTCTTTATTTTCAAGTTTTATTTTTATGCTAAGTATGACTTTTGTCATGCTTAGCTAAACTTTTCATAAGCCGAGAGCTGTCGCGATGATTCAATTCCAATGGGAGAATTGAAACGGTCCCTTAATATCTTCGGAATCTCTCTCTCAATCTCTGCGCTTATTTTTTTCAAAATTAAAACAGTTTTCAAAAATCGAAGATTGACTTTGGTCAAGAAGTTGTTGCGATTAAACGTGTGGGAGGAAGATTCGGCTTATAGAAAGCAATTC